CAACCCAAGAGCAATGGCCTCCAACCTAAGAGCGATGGCCTCCAACCCACTAGCAATGGCCTCCAACCTACTAGCAAACTAGCAATAGCCTCCAACCTACGAGTGATGGCCTCCAACCTACTAGCAATGGCCTCCAACCTAAGAGCGCTGGCCTCCAACCCAAGAGCAATGGCCTCCAACTCCAACCTAACAATGGCCTCCAACCTAAGAGCGACGGCCTCCAACCCAAGAGCAATGGCCTCCAACCTAAGAGCGATGGCCTCCAACTCAAGAGCAATGGCCTCTTACCTACTAGCAATGGCCTCCAACCTACTAGCAATGGCCTCCAACCTAAGAGCGATGGCCTCCAACCCAAGAGCAATTGGGCTCCAACCTACTCGCAATGGCCTCCAACCTGCTAGCAATGGCCTCCAACCCAAGAGCGATGGCCTCCAACCTAAGAGCGATGGCCTCAACCCAAGAGCGAAGGGCATCGCTTTTAGGAACATCACGCTACTAGGGGCTTGGACAAGTCATGGAAAGGACAGCATGGGACGTGGAAAGGCTACAGAGTTGGCAGTTTCTGGCCTTTCACCTAACCGGTAGTCCTTCACTTAAAACATAGAATTAGAAGTATTTGTGGAGGCCGTTGCTATTAGGTTGGAGGCCAGCGCTCATATCGTAAGGATCCCTTTGAAATATTTGGAGCAAGCCCCTTCTACGATAACTAGTCGATCAAGTTTCCCAGGAACTTTACATGGTCGAGCAGGGTGTTATTCAACGGATTCGTGCACCAGTAAAACCAAACTGCAGCTCATCTTGGTCTCTGTATCCGTGGTCTGTCTCCCTCAGTTTTCTCACCAAACTCGACGACGCCTTGGCCAGTCAAGAGGCCTGGTGTGAGACGGAGATGTGGGTCATGGCGCCCGGGAAGTGGGAAATGAATGGACGAGGTCGATCGGCCTTTGGAGGATGTGTGGAAGAAAAAGGGAAGACTGAGGGAAGACTGGTCGGAGAGCATTCTTCAATTCAGTACTGTTCAAAAGTATCTTTTTGCTTAGCAGCACTACTGACTTCAAGACACCATCGAATCTATTGGGAATCTGTTGCCAGTCATCCGTAGCCCGAGAAAACTGGACATCACCATCATACTGCTGATCCCGCATGAGTTGGTTGTGGAATAAGGCATATTGATTTTGACATTCTTAGATTTTTTGTTAATAGGGCGCCAGCGCATCGTGAAGGTTCGTAAAGCGCCCTGGATCTGAGCTAATGATTCGTGATGTGAAATCAACATGAAAACACCTACCGTATCCTACAGTAATACTTTGACCTAAAACAACTTTACAACAGCTGTGCTATAATGATAATGTAGTAAGGCCAGGAGCCCCTAGTAGTGTCCTTGTTCCTAGTAGTAGGGCCAGGAGCCCCTAGTAGCTAGGAGTAAGGCCAGGAGCCCCTAGTAGCGTCCTCGTTCCTAGTAGTAAGGCCAGGAGCCCCTAGTAGCTTCTTGCTCCTAGGAGTAAGGCCAGGAGCCCCTTGAATAATATTGAAACCTTTGGAAGAAACACCTTACATTAGCGATCAGCGAAGCCAGCCTTGCTCCGAGCACTGCGGCTTCGGCTCCTAGCCGCACAGGAGCTGATCGACCGTCCAAAAAACTGCCGCTGACACGGCCAGTCAACCAAAATTGGCTAGTTAGTTAGTCAGTTAGCTAGTTAATGTATTGGTGATCTTTTGTATTCACAGCGCTTCGCGCACGAAGCCGCCCGCACGGAGTGTGTGCGTCTGTTTGGGAGTGTGTGCGTCTGTTTGTCTCGGTCTGTCTGCCTGTCTTGTTCGGGCAGGACACACGGAAGAACACACGCACGATGTCAATAGTCTGTCTCGGTCGGTCTGGGTGTCTGTCTGTCTGCCTGCCTGCCTGGCTGGGTGGCTGGCTGGCTGGCTGGCTGGTCTGTCTCTGTGTGTCTGTCGGTCTCTCTGTGTCTGTCTGTCTCTCTGTGTCTGTCTGGGTCTAGATCTGTCTGGGTCTGTCTGGGTCTGGTCGGTCTCTGTCTGTCTCTGTCTGTCTGGGTCTGTCTGGGTCTGTCTCTGTCTGTCTCTGTGTCAAAAACCACATGCGATTGTTCCCCCCAAAAAACATCAAAAACCACATGCTCAATACCATTCACCTCATCCAGTCGGACTGGGCACACGACCGAACACATCCACGATATCAATCATACAGTATCCTGCGGCTTGCCTAGACGTTTGCGATTTCTGCGATGTCCACCGAACACATCCACGATATCATGCAGTATCCCACGTTTATCTCGACGTTTATGATTTCTGCGATGTCTATAACGACTCTCCCCGGCCGACATAACCGGCATCGCATATCCATAGTGCAGTATCCATTGGCTTACCGAGACGTCTGTGATGTCAGATATGCGACCTGGTTCGATCGGCATAACCGGCATCACCAACGTCTAGTCCAATTTTGATCAATTTTCAAACAAAACTTGAAAAACACAGCATTTCTAGGAGAAAAATGCCCCCGCCCAGGCTAAAGCTTAGGATTTATCTGGCCGGATTCCTTGCGATGTGGATGCACACGAGCCTACACAACGCCCTCGGCACCTCCAGTGCGGGCGGATTTAGACATTTTCTTTTCTTACTTTCTGTTCCTCTTTGGGCACATTTGTTATCCACCTTCAATTTCCTCGATTCGATTGACTCCCAAGCGGAGGTGGTTCTCTTCGCCAAATGCGCCTTCTCACCGCCTCGGCAGCACTCTTCTCCTCCTGCGAGGTGTGCCACACACGCGGAGACGCGTACATCATGCTTTTGGATAGGATGATGCGAAGTGTTCCACGGTAGCAGCTTTCATGTTCTCATACATTACATTACCATTACAATACAATACATTCCATTACATACATCTCAACTTCCAAAACTTCACCCCAGTTAGAATAGCGCGGTCGATGTCTGGTTCGTCCAGTTTGGTTTCGTTCTCTGGCCATGATTGCCACCACCAGTGATGCCACCTTGAGTGACTGACAACAAAATGCTTGGTGGTTGAATACCTAAGAGTGGACAGTGGCCCAGTGCTGGCCAAGCAGGTTTTATTGTGCTAGCTCACAGGTCTCTTCGGCAGTTGCGAGTTTGGCGCTGACGCAGGTCTCTTCGGCAGTTCCAAGAGCTTCGAGTTGCGACCGACTTGCGTTCCACGCTTAGCTTCCCCGTGAGCCCTCAAAGGCCCTGTCCTGACGGGAGCCTTTTCCTTGACCTTTTCGCTGCTTCATCTCCTGCACCCAGCTCTGGGCGCTGATGGATGGGTGGAGCGAGGAGCTGTTGACACTTGAAGATCAGAATGCCGTCAGTCCCAATGGAGCCTGCCTCAAACCTGCATGATTTGTTGAATCGATTCTCTCATCAGCCCTACGACCCACCAGCAGGGTGAGTCCATAAGTATCACTGAAAACACTCTGAACGTGTTCAGTGCGACTGCTCCACGCTCTTGTTTTTTTCCCAATCATCCACTTCAATGGAGTCCAGGGGGTCTCCACCAAGCCCTTCAAACCAAGTACATCCTCCAAAACGGCAAAAGAAAAGGTGAAGAAAACGGCGCAGGAGCGCCCAGGTCCGTCCCACCCACCGAGCTCAAACGAAGCCGAACACCGACTTCGACGGATGTGCCCGCCTCGCCTTGGGCCGTCCGGACTCACGCTCGATGGTGCGGATCCGGTTGATGGCCATGCCAATCGGGTTCTGTGCCCTTTTGATGTTCTCCACCTGAAAGAAGGACGCTACGAACGGGGCTCCTAGCATCGCTACGAACGGAGCAAGGAAGCTAGTTCTCCACCTGAAAACCGGGGACCGTTCTGGATCTGAAGGAAAACCCAAACGCTTTCGACGGGCGAACAAGGACGGAGATCATGAGACGAAGCAAATTACACTGGATTTCCAAGAGACGAAAAACGTCACTGGTTCTGATGGTCCAGATTTGCTTGTGTGGACCGTTGTTGGATTCCTTGGAATCCTAGGACCATACCGATGATCCTTCCCTAAGAAACCAGCCAAGCAATGACTTCTTGGTACTCCGAACATGCTTTCCGAGGTGGATCCCATTGAGGTTCTGCAGTTCTCTCCTTTGGAGCTTTCCAGCCCAGCCATGAGTTTCTCGTGATCTTCTTGCAGTTCGTACTGATCATGGGCGGCGATCAAACACAGAGAAAGGTTCAGAAGTGCATACAACGCATAGAATGGACGAACAGGGTCAACGCCAGTTGTGCCATTGCTAGATCAGCATCCAGATCTGGCCTGTTCGATTTTTCAAGTTTGTGTGAATGGCAATTCCCCTGTGAGACACATCCCGGACACATCCCCACATGAGAAGCTCAAAGTCCACATATCTTGAAGATTGATTGCCTGAAGTCTCCATATCTTCACGTCTTGTATCGTCACTTTCCGCACCCCAACCCGCTTTCCCTTGAAAAAGGGACCTCCGATCCTCCGTGCCCACCGGGTGCTCCTCCGAGGGCTCCAGCAGACGTGCCAGGTCGTCCCGCTCCATGTTCCTCGCAAGACCGCCACGCCCCACGTGGCAACCGGGTCGGCTCGTTCACCGGAGGACCGGTCCGGGAGGATGAACAGGCGACTTGAACCTCGAGCTTGGAGTATCCCAAATCTGGTTATATTGATGTTTGACCTGATATACTATTCAGTACCTTAACAATCAATCGTATAAAAAAACACATTTGCATCCTTACCACCTGACCGACCGTTCCACATGCTTCTGCCTTACGTGGATGCTCTGGCGCGCCCGTGAAACAGTGCGATCGAGCGGCTGCATCATCCCACGAATCTTCGCGATGAGACCTCACTTTCTTGGAAACGCGACCGCAAAGGCAAAACAGCAATGGTTGGGATCAACATGGGTGTTGCTTTGTTACTGGTGGTCTTGGCACTTTTGTAAGAGAGTCCAGCAGGTGGTTACATACTAGGTTTTTCAAAGTTGCCTTGTTAGGCCCAGTTTGAGGTCATCACTCAGATCCCAAACAGGTCACTTAGGCCCAGAGGACTTCACTTTGAAGAACCAAGTGAGACTGTTCCACGGTTCTTGTTGAATATCTGCTTCTGAAAACCTCCAACGCTCCGCCAGGGGCTTCAAGGACTTTGGCCGATTTCGACGCGGAGAAGGAAAGGGTTTCGACCTGCTGGAGGGCCCCGGTGCCCCTGGTGCTGGTCGTTCTCGACCGACGGAACGTCGATGTGCTTTGGGCCCAGCGGCGACCACGGATGCCGACCTGGCGGCCGGGTGGGGCCAGCAGATGTCAACAGGATTAGCAACTGCATCGCTATTAGTAGCAAGTGCATGACTACTAGTAGCAAGAAGCTACTAGGAACAAGTGCATTACTCTTCCAACTCTTCAAACAAAAACTCCTCTCCGGTTCAGTTGAGTCAATGGCCAATGTCAGGAAATGAGTTCATACAAAGAAATGTCCGAAATGTGCCAGCTGGCCAAGCAGCATGTCAACTTAGCTGGATTCTTGCTAAGAACCCCAAGCCCAGTCCCAAATGAAGCATAGACCGAGGCAAAATATCATCAATCAAGGATCCCTTCACACCCCTCAAATTCCAACGAAACTTCATAATCTCACAAGGACGCTACTAGGGGCTCCTGGCAACCCTACTAGGAGCAAGAAGCTATTAGAAACAAAAGATATATAGAATTTAATATCCTCCAGTCTCCTTCACTCGGTGATCTTGCGTGCCTGCTCGCTCAGCATCGCTGACAGCCCTCCAGCTCCCCTCCAGCTCCATCCTGCTGCGTCGAACTCCGAACAAACTCCGAACCTCCTCGCAGAAGTCGTTGTAGAGGTCCAAGTCGTCGCGGCTTCGATAGGCCAGGTCCGTGAAGAGCGGCTTGGATCTCGTCTGGGAGCCTTTGAAAGGCGGTGGTCGCAATCCTGTTCCCATGTGAGACCCCAACGGCATATCAACAAGGTTCGCTACTAGGAACAAGTGCATCGCTTCTAGTAACAAGTGCCTTACTAGTAGTAACAATGTTTGCTATTAGAAACAAGAAGCTACTGAAAGAAACACCTAAGAAGACCGGAGTTCCATCTGAAAAAAGAACCACTGAAAGCAAGTCCCATTTTCGCCTGCACTTCTGGCTCCTCGCGAATCCTCCCGGCGCCGCCGCGCGCGCCGCGGTGCGAAGCTGCGCGCGCGCCGTGGGCGGCTGTCACGTGAACTGCCGCGGCCTGGGACCACGGGGGGCACGTCCGAACGGAACAAAGTGCATCGCTACTAGGAGCAGGAGCATCGCTATTAGTAGCTAATTTGCTACTAGTAATAATAAGCTATGCTAGAGCTAAAGCTGTGAAAAAAACAGAAGGGAACCTTTGGGAGACGATGCTGAAAGAATGATGCTGAAGACATTTTCCAGGAAGGTTCAAACCTCCAAAATGCATTGGCAAAGGGTCCAAAGCATCCAAAAGAATCCAGCCAAGGTGTCTTGGGGGTCGAGGATGTGGTGATTGTACCCTTCCAAGTCAAGAGAAATCCAGCCATGCCTGTCTTACCAGGTCATAGCAACCAAGCGTGCCCCTTCGGCTGCACTCAATGCCAGCCTCTCAACGGATGGGAAGCTAAGTACAGGTGAAACGATTCCCAAGGAAGCTTCTAGCTATATACGTTCGTAGCTTCTTGTTCCAGCGATGGCCTCCAACCAACCTAGCGTGCTTGCTACGGCAAAAGAGAGTTCCACAAACCCTCTGAAGTCGAACAAAACCTCTCCAGAAACAAGAAGCTACTAGGAACAAGTGCATCGCTTCTAGTAACAAGTGCCTTACTAGTAGTAACAATAAGCTACTAGGAACAAGTGCATAGCAATTACAGAAAGACTAGAGACATCCAGAGATCCACTTGACCCCGTCGAGTTGCTGTCGGACCGCGCCCATCTGGGAGAGGGCGAGGGACGGCGCGATCTGGGCCGGCGCGACCTGGGACGCCTGAATGTGGGCAAGATGTCCGCCAGGATTCGAACAACCATTGTTTCAATGGTCTGACTGGCAAAGAACCCTTGTTTTACTAAGGATTTTTACACTACACCACCAGGTCAACACTTCTTTTAATGGTCTTTGAAGGCTAGGGATTGTGTTCTTATGTAAAGCACAACCAAAACAGCAACTTCCAACTCCCAACTTCTGGTTGGTCAGATTCCAAATTGAGCCTCATTTTCTCTGAGTTTAACACTTCAAAGACTTCAAAGAGGGGAGGGGGTCTTGGGGTCTTGAAACCTGGATGGCCTGCCCAAGCTTGAAACCTGGGGCGAAGGAAGGGAGAAGCAGAAATTGTTTGGACACCATGAGAATTGATGAGCCAATCCAGTTTCTCGCTGGAAAATAGACCTTCACGAAACTTTCGGAGAAACCAATTCTTTTGGAGAAACAAAGAAGCTACTAGTAACAAAGGGCATCGCTACTAGGAGCAAGGGCGCTACTAGGGGCTCCTGGCAGTACTACTAGTAACAAGAAGCTAGTAGGTTGGAGGCCATTGCTAATAGGCATCAAACCCAGGCCTTCTGGTCCGCGGAACTCGAGGCGTTCTCGGCGTTCGCCGTGCACTCCGCGTTCGCGGCGCGCGGCTGTCGTCGCGGCTGTCGTTGCGGCGGCGCATGGCGCTCCCAAAGCCGAGGAGGGGCAGGCAGTTAGGAATGTGATAGATAGGATGTTTCAGTGTGTAGTAGCTTTATTGTTACTAGTAGTAAGGCCAGGAGCCCCTAGTAGCGTCCTTGCTCCTAGTAGCGATGCCCTTTGTTACTAGTTGAACCTTCTGCTTGGGATTCTCTTCGTTTTCCAAACAGATTCAATCCCAAAGGAGGGGCAGCTGAAATGCTTTCGGTTTGTTGCAAAGGGTGGCTTCTCTGGATTCCAGGATTCCATCTTATCGAGAGGACAGCGATGTTCCGACAGGTAAAGCTCGGGGGAGTTGGATCGGCCAACCCATGGCCCAGCACAGGCTTCATCCACGGCTCACTTTCGGTGGGCTTGCTGGCCCGTCGCTGATTTTGACTGGGGTCTTTTGGAGAATCCGGCCCATTGTCGCACGAAGAGGGTGTTCTCTCAGCTAAGGCTTCTTGATCCAAGATTTGGCTTAGAAGGTGGTTCTGAGTCCTGTCTGCTCTTGAAAAGAGAGAAAAATAAACAAGTCAAACAAACGATAAGCTCGTGTGTCTTCTCTCGGGTCATATTCGGATTTGTACCGTTGGTGGCTGCGGTGCTGAAAGCCAAAAGAGCTCGTCCGCGACCATGTGCGATGAGAAAAGCCTCCTTCAAGGAAATGGATTCCAAAGAACCTTTGATTTACATAGATTCAGATGTCAGGTCTCATTCAGGGTCATGCACCTCTAGGCCCAGCACCGTTCTGTTTATTTCACTCCATGATCGAGACTCTTTGTCTTTTCAGCCCAGGACGATGTTTTCAGCTGAGGAAAGACTCTGAGGATTAAGGAGTCCATGCCCCCCGTGAGGGTACCAAAGCATGATTTATGACCGAAAAGGCCAACGCCATCCGAACTAAAGGAAAACCCTTGAGGGTCACCTGTAACTGGGCAGCCCTCAAAAATGCTCCTGCGAGGCCCAAAGAAAAAAGAAAGAACAGAAAGAAAAGCAAGATTGAACAAGAAGAACATTTACAAACTAACAAGGACGCTATTAGGTGGAGGCCATCCATCGAGGCCATTCCTATTAGTAGCAAGAAGCTACTAGGGTGGAGGCCATCGCAAATAGGTTCCACTTGAAAAAGAACTCCATGACTTCGCTCTCTTTTCCTCCAATCGATGGGGTCTATCTGGTCTACCCGCCGCAAGGTCCCCAGTCTTGGCGTGTCTACGGCGGTCGTTAACGCCCGTGGCCATGGGTTCTGAAGAAAGACAGAAACAAAGGTCTCAAAGGAAAACAAAAACCATTTAAGAACAGAAAAGGAAAAGGAACAAGAACAGGAAGTTCCCCTCAAAACCCAGGAACCAAACGAAGAGTGCGTGAGCTCTCCTGCGTCCAGGCAGTAGCGAACAAGTAGCTTCCTCCTTTACTTAATTAAGTAGGCGCCAACGGAGGGTCAAGGGCCGAGCAAAAAATGGCTCCGCACCTCATGCTCCACGGAGCGAGATGTTTTCAACCGGAGAGGGTGAGCTGGACGTGCTCTTTCTTTTTGAAGCACCAAAACGACGACTGCTTGAGGCGTTTTGAACAGCGGACATGATATCGAATTTCGTCCCGTTTGGGTTTGACTTCGGGGAGCACGGATTCTTTGAACCACAAGCACGGCCCATGGCCACAGGATGCCGGCACTAACACAGCGCTCGCGGTCGACCGCCCCTTCAAGGCGCCGAAGACGAGGGCCGTGCACAGCGAATGACCGCTCCACTGGGCTTCGAAGCGAGCGAATTTGGATCCAAACAGCACTGAGAGTGCCCCATTTACTAGCGGCTTAGAAGCTACTAGTAGTAGCTTACTTGTTACAAGTAGCGATGCAGCTGTTCCTAATAGCGATGCACTTGTTACTAGTTGTTTGTTTGGGGTCAAGAGCTGTGGCTCCAAACTTCAGTTGCAAACACTAAGATGGTACTGGTAAAAAGATCTGTGTTGTCTACACCAGGTAGACTCAGAATTGCTCTCTGCTTGAAGGACAAATAGAAAACTAGGGGACCAAAGGCTACTCAATGAGATTCACCACCAAGGCGTTCACTGTCTTGGAGCACTCGACTTATCTCAAAAGCAGACTCATGTGACACCCAAAGAATGCTGCTGGAGAAAAAGGCACTAGAAAACATGAACGCAACCTCTGCTGTCCCTGTATCAAACGATCATAATTTGGGGAATGCCGCTTGGAACTACGAGGTTCCAAATACCAAGCAAAGACTTTTCACTCCACTTCCTGTTTCGAATCTGCGATGGACGACCACTCGCGTGAAGTCAATATTGCATCTCAAAGCAGTTACCAATAAGTCAGTAAGTTTCCCAAAAAGATCTAGACCCAAATGAAGCGTGAGCTGCGTCCAGTAGGTAGTAGCTACAGCAGGTGCTATCCTGCCCTTACTTAATTGAGTAGGTGCCTACTTAATTGAGAAAGGGCGGGCTAAAAGACGTGGCCTGATGAACCACCGAGTTCCATGGAGCTTTGGCTGAGGTTTTTCTTCGCCCTGTCCGTTTGTCAACGTCAGCCACAGGAGCGTCATCGTTCGCATCACAGCAACTCAGCTGGGCTGCGAAAAACACACATCTGCAGATGCAGCAAAGCGCTAGTAGGTTGGAGGCCATCGCTCTTAGGTTGGAGTCCATTGCTCTTAGGTTGGAGGCCATCGCCATTAGGTTGGAGACCTTATGCAGCAAAAGCCTGTCGTTTTTCTCTTTGCCAGGTGGTGCAGGATTTCTTCCGTCCCAGAACATCTGCACCTGGAACCTTCAGCGTCTACAACAATGGGATCTTTCAATGCCAAGGAGAAACCACAAGAGGTACCAACAAGTGAGCGGTGACATGTGTTGATTCAGTGAGCTGGATGACATCCATTACCAAAGATCCAAAGCATGCTTGAGTTGTGATAGACATCCACATTCACTGTCTACAACAAGAATATGTCCTGCCTACCCGGTTCAACAGGGGATTAAACACACCGTTTCCAAGAATCATTGATGTTCCTTGCCTCTTATTTGTTTGTTAAGAAGAACTGGTCATCCCTTATTCATCATCCCTGCAACATAAGTGACACACCGAACAAAATAATCCCAGTCAGGAAGGTCACAGCTAACTTCAATACCTCTTTTTAGGAAACAATAAACACATCAAAATACTGTTATGCAGTGCTGTTTACTCACGTTTCATCAAACCGTATGCACCGGCAGCCCGGCTAACCGGCTAACCGCCAATCGCCCGCTGCACTGCAGGCGATTGCAACGCTTCCTCACTTAGGGTTGGCCTTCCGGGGCAAACCAAGCACTGTAAGCCTTGCGTTTTTTGTGTCTTGCCATGTCTTGAAGCGAAAGCACACCTGGAAATGGGATGGAAGAAACCAGTGATCTTTTAGGTCATCTCACCAAAGACATTATGTTTCCCTAAACATCTAGGAACCGAATCATTCGTGGGGGGAGTTTCCTTGAAGAAGCCCTGCCTCCTAGCTAGGAGCATCCTATTGCTAGTAGCGAACTACTCCCTTACTTAATTAAGTAGGCGCCTACTAAATAAGTAAGGGTGGGTTAAAAACAACAACAACAACAAACCAACCAACCAACCAACCAAACAAACAAACAACCAAACAAACAACCAAACAAACAAACAACTAAACAAACAACCAAACAACAAGAAACGAAAAAATATAGACATCAACAAAAATATGGAGTGATCATCCAGTATTATTATGCTGGCTGTTTTGAGGTCGTTCCTAGTTCGATCAGAAGGAGTGACCCAAAGCAACTCTTTCCATGAATCAGCAGGAACTGCCTGGATTCGACGGCTAACTGCTTCGACGGCCACTCAACTTCCGAAAAGCTCACTTGTGAGGTTTCCAAAACAGATTCGAAGCTCAGTCCAGCATCAAAGGAGCGCCAGTTTTTCTCACCCGTAAACACGCAAGAGTCCAACTCCAAGGCTTGGCTCAAGCCATCTAGTGAATCTAGTGGATAGGTTTTCCAGTCCCTCTTCACCTTTGTGATGGATTTGAAACCAAACAGCTTGGAGGAGAAGACACCGCCCTTTTTCCGAGTCTTCCCGTTCACCGGCCCCACCTGGACGGGGCTCCAAGGGCAGCCGGTGAGGTTCCGACTTCGTGGACCTGGCGGGTGGAAGAACTCTGAAGACGGACACCCTCTTCCTCCCCTAGTAGCTTTCTGTTACTAGAAGCAAGAATGCTCCTAGTAGCGATGCCCTTTGCTCCTAGTAGCTACTTGCTCCTAGTAGTAAGGCCAGGAGCCCCTAGTAGCTTTCTGTTACTAGAAGCAAGAATGCTCCTAGTAGCGATGCCCTTTGCTCCTAGTAGCTACTTGCTCCTAGTAGTAAGGCCAGGAGCCCCTAGTAGCTTTTTGTCAATAGAAGCAAGAATGCTCCTAGTAGCGATGCCCTTTGCTCCTAGTA